AGTTCTAACGACAGTTCGTAACTAATACAGTAGTACAAATTCTTAATTTTCACACACAATTATTCGTTAAAGCGATTGGTAAACCTCCCCATGAAAGTATGAAGAAGACGAAAATAAAAAATGGGAAAAAGTTTATTGATTTTTCATGACTACTAAAGTGGAAAGATAAGTTTACAAGTTGTATAAATAGTGGTCTAAAATAAAGCCACAAAGAACTGTTAATCGTAAACCTGCTGTCTAGCTGTTTATAATTCTTAAGTAAAAATTGTAGACTTTTCTCTCCACCTGATTCAAGAAGCGTTCACCATATTTCTCAACAATTTGTTGTTTGCACATTCTTTGTAGCCGTTGAAGTTGTATATATTCTTTACTCCGTCTCGGTAATGAAATTCCTGTGTTGTTTTGTAAATTGTGCGTATTGTCTAATTTCCATCTGCAGCAACACCTAAGAAGTTGATGAGCTATGCAGTTTATATTTTATAATTTAAATAGCTTACCTGTTAGATTTATTATTCTGTAATATTGATTAAATCTAGTGAATAAATACACTAAAAAATTACCTTCCAACCGTTTCTGCGGTTACCAGTCGAGTCAAGTAGGTTTTTAGTATTTTATCATTTGTCTAAAAGAAATTTTATGTAACCAATTATTGGTGTACCTTTTTCCGGAAAGCGCGAATCACATGAAAGGCGCACAAAATAATGTTTGCATGCCCGTGCGTTATACGGACAGCCGCGCTTTCAGATCGTGCGCAATCCATCACAAATGTTTCTGTTTTGGTCGTGTTACCCATTATCTCCTTGAATTTATCCAAAATCCACGTAACATCGGCACGCTTTTTTTTTGTCCATGCAAACATAACAGTTCGACCTCGACCCCAATTGTCTGTCACCACTAACTGGAATAATGAATATCTACATAGTAGAACAAAACGAAAATCATATTCACTTTTTATTATTAGTTTTATAAGTAGAATCAATACACACGACTTCCGGATATTGATTGTACAGCCGTATCTGATCATAACTGCTGAAGCATATCGCCGTAATACATCCATTTTCTGCATGCTCTCTAACTTCACCGTTTTGTCGCATCATCTGCAATACCTGCTTCCGAGTCCCACCTGAAATATATTTATATACACTTACCAGTGGAGAGTTCAGCTTTCATATTTTTGACATCAGCAGCGGTCACCTGCTTACCTGTTCTTTCCTTAATACTTTCGATAACTTCGTCCGTCGACTGACAGTGCAATATAACTGGTTTCAAGTTTTCTTTTTCTTCTGATGACAATCGTCTACTCAACGGATCACAAACCATCCACGAACTAGTACACGGATGGTTGTGAGACATGCTGTAAGATTTTATAACGTATTGCTGACCCTCCAATCTTACGCGAAACATCGATTGGCAGTTTAAAAATTTATACCTTAAATGTAACACATTAGTTAGAGTCCTCACGGTTTTTTATTCACATTCAGACCTTCTGATTTACGTTTACGACCAAACGTGCAACGAAACACTACGAACAAGTATTTATATCTCACATCCTTCAACAATCTACTTTCTGCGTGAACATAGTGTGTGTGGGTCATCTGAGAAAACATAGATTTATCCTATCATACTTTATGGAAATCCTTTAGCGCATTATCTAATTCAATCCAGCTTCCGAATCTCTTGTTCAGCATAATACGTTGGAACGCGTCGCTTACGTTCACTGAAATTTCACTTGAGCATGAAGCACTAGAGACAACATACAATAGTTATTAAAAAAAGGTTATTCCTTGAAAAAAATTAACTGAAGTAAGAACAACAAATATTTAGGACTTACCCTTCAGTTGACATTTCGTCTTAACTCACAAAAACTAGGCGCATCTATAACCTTTTACGTTATTTTATCTTTCTTACGTTGTTTTCTGGACCTTATCAACAAATTATATATAGCTGTTGACTTTCACTACAGCACTTAGGACCACAGATCAAGTTTCGAAGGAACAACAGAGCTAAAGTGTGCACTACAAAACAGAAAATACTCAGTTAATGCTCTTAGCAGTTATTTAGTGTTTATTATGCATCAAAAGATGACTTATATATGGAAACATTTAATACTCATAGGACCCAACACACACACGGCAATTGAAATACGGAATGCCCGCTTCCAATCAGCGCGTTCAAGGTCGTTGAAACGAAACGGCGGACAGATTTGAAAGGGATTACCGTTTTTACCTTGCTGTACATTCGTTTGTGTTTATCTACTACTTCTTGATCCGATTACGTTATTTCGGAGATCCTTAGTTCATACTACCATTCAAATACTTCTGATTATCACATTGGCGTTGCGATTTAGCCTGTGATGGAACTGCTGGACACGCATTGAGATTTTGATGCTTTCAAGGACTGCTTTGAAGGGTTCGAAATCTGAGCTGTGACCAAAGAAGATGATGCGGATGTTAGCACATTTCATCAAATTCATCGGAAAAGAAGTATATAGCTTATTAAAAACTCTGGCTATGTCGGAAAAGCCCATTTCGCTTTCTTATACAACTTTCAATGATCTACTGCTAGACTATGTTAAGTATACAAATTTCGAATGTGGTAAAGGAGGAAGATTCCGTAAAATGATTCACGAGATAATGAAAAATTCCACTGCATTACGTCATCCCGACCCAGTGCACACTCAAGGCTATGCAGATAATTCATTGAGGAGTTGCGACGCACTTCACGAATATGGGCACAAGTTTGGTCAGTATTTGTCCTGCGGCAGGTTCCACTTTTTTAGTTCATGTTAATTTCGTAATTCTAAGTGCATTATATGTGGTCTGTTTGTAATACTACTATTCATCTTGCTGCAACTAATATTAAGTCTTGTAATCCTGGTTCTATTAAGTCGAGTATTTATAATGATCATTAATCTTTATCACCGATTTCAAAAGACAGTATAGAATCATATAGCAGTTCATAGTTAAGTGAAACTCGCAATTCTTGTGGGACAACCGTTTCTCATCAATCATCAGATTCCTCATGTTACTGTACCAAATATGGTTTTTCCTAATGATTCACTTATTTCTGACGAAACCCCATACAAATCTGAGGAAAATATGTTGAATGAATCTAATCATGATCGAAAAACTGATCCAGTCTTGATGGATGCTGATTTTTCTAATGATCCTTTACTCTGCAATGACATTCTTAATAAAATCGAGGGAACTACTTCAGAATATTCAAGTCTTGATGTCATACCAAATATTTTCTGTCTTCATAATGCATTTGTTTCATGTGGGAAACTTGTTCATTGCGGAGCACAAGTGCTAAATGACCTCGACTACAATTCGGATGATCTCATATCAACTGCTGTTTATCCTTATCACAAAAACACTGCTAATGTTTACTCCAGTCAATGTGGGAAATATGTTCTAAATGAAGCCACATCATTCATAAATTGGGGATATAAAGACCCAACATTATTTCGTCGGGGAGGATAGTGTTGGGAAATATGTGCTCTGAATTCTAGATAGTGGTTTCGGTAGACAAACGACACGGCGATTGTATGCAATCCCAGGAACCAAGTGAGTCTGTTTCGATCTCCGTTGTTAATTCCAATACTAATAAGCACATTCTAGATAATGCAGAGTCTTTGTCCAATACACTGTCGGATAGACACAGGATGAACTCAAGACACTTAAACTCCTATTTAAGCTGTGGCGGATGTGATGTTTGAGTGAACTAATGATTCCTTTGTACTTGTTGAATGCTTGTTTTCGAATCCTAAATACAGTACATTCGTTTGTGGTTATCTACTACTTCTTGATCCGATTACGTTATTTCTGGGATTCTTAGTTCATACAATAATTCACATACTTCTAATTATTATATTGGCCTCACTCGACTTCTCGTTGACAACCCTTGGTGTCGCAGCCAACCAGGAGGCGAAGAGAATAGAGTTCTGTGACGCCATTGCGTGATCTGGGGAGGAGGCGGTAGTTGGGGTCATCCGTTTCCGGGTGGTTTCATCGCTTAAAGTGTTGTGGCGGTGTTGGAGGTACCGGTCGTTGTCGACGGAGTTTGGCGGCCGCCAACTAAATACTGGGTTTAGATGACTCAGCAGTTCGCTGGAGCGCATGTGTTGATGTTCCCTATGGATATTAGACGTGGATGTCTCGGAAGTTTAACATCGCTGCAGAGGTCAGCACGCCGTGAACCCGATATTTCGACGGCACAGACTGTGACGAAGTGGCAAGGAGAGTAGGACTGAGCAACGACCTTGGGCCGTCTTTGCTAGTAAAAAAAAACTAGTTCGAAACATATGTCATGTAGTAAAGTTATACAAAGCCTACATAGTTAGTCAACTCAGTTAGACTGGCTTATATTTTTAACGGATGCCTGGAAGTTATGATCGAAATCTGCAGTTAGATTGTATAAATAATAACCCTGAACTCCAACTTCACCATCTAAACCGGAAATTCTAGTTCGAACTTAATTATAACACTAAAACGAATTGTACCCCCGATGTGACAAGCATTGCTGAGAAATATAACTTAAACTTGTGATTGAAACTGCCTCAGAATGATTGTGTGTGCGCATTGATGAATAAATACTTGTCTTCAGTAGTCTGAAGCCCTGAGATTGCAAAGTGTTCCTTCGAAATAACTTCCTCGATCCTGATTGGTTTAGCAGTAAACCTATGTCAGCCGGTTCGTACTTTACTGCTGTTGATATTCATGATTGCATTCGATCATCGGATAAGCGACCTTGATCGAATAAAAAGATTATGTCAGTAGATACAATACTCATGTGATTCGACAAACCAGTTTGTGATAAAGTGCAAACTACATTGCGTATAGTGCCTGACATCTCTTAATGGCCTAATAAAACTATGAGTGAAATGAAAAAGTTCAATTAACGTCTGCATCATATATATATATATATATATATTTTTAAAAAAATTTATCATACACAGGTAGTGCTAATTATCAGCTGGCTAACGATGTTGTGATATTTTCTTAATGCACGGTGCTTCCAGAACGACTGAATCTGAATTGATCTAATAGTTTTGCTTGGTGCTCTGAGCTAACAGGGTAATAATTAGCCAACCGGAGACTCAATTCAGCTCGTCCTGACGAAAGACGTCTGATAGTAGCCGAGTAGTTAGCTAATTCAGATAACGGTGCTATTGCACGTATACGGTGATATTTTTCAGCTCCCATTCTGCTATCGTCTTTACTGTTTGAACTGGTTTCTGCGTTGTCCACTGATATTATTTCTGCGCGCCTATTCGTTAAGTCACACAGAAAGGCTGATAATTCTGAATCATAACCTATATTGGTTTGAAAACAGAATGAGACAAGAACCATGAAACATATTTTTATAATTAAATCTGTGGTGCTTGAGTCATAATTAAATTTTCACTGCGTGGAAGCAGCCTCATAGTACTACTAATATGACTTATGTTCAGAGAACACATTATAGGGATCAGTTAAAACAAATGAAGTTTCATCTGAGAAGCACGGCGAACGGCAACTAAAGCTACGGCTAACCTCGTATCACAACTCCTGGGGTTCTTGGCGCCGTCATACTACCTGCCGTCAAACTAGACTAACGATAAGGTTATGTTTTCAGCTCGTCAGTGTACATGAATAGTGACAGTAAGAAACACATCTATTCATTACGTTACTAGTAAAATTTCGACGAAATTGCGTTTTACTGAACAATATGGTCACGAATATATTAAAAAATGCTCTTCAATATTCACGTGAATATTGGTGAATTAAATTGCGAACTACACTTATCACGTAGCCATATTACCACGTACTTATCAATGTTCTTCAACATACACATCAAATTATTAAGACCTCTGGGAAGGGATCATAAGTCCTCGCTGAGTGTACCTAAAGCAAATGAAAAAGAAATTCGGTGGCACATAGACAAACTTCGTTAATTAAAATGACTACAAACTCTCAGCTGTCCTGTACAAACAGGTGTTTCGTATGAAAGATTTTCTGTCATTCTAAACATTATTAGGTCATGTTTAATCTAACAGTTAGATTCTGGATTATTCCACAAGAATTGCATCAGTTAGATCGGATGATTTTTCTCCAAGATGGTTTTTTGGTAATCTATTATCATTTTGTGTTTTTGTGTTCCCGTTGATAATTTTGTGCAGTTGACCTCCGACTATATATGTGACTGACCCTTTCTGCAAAGATTGGCAGATTGGATTTATATCGATGTGTGTGTTGGTTGGAGATTAGACTCAATCTCATGCTTTGCGAAATTAAAAGTTCCTTCACCCAATCCAGCTATCACGTTTGTATGCATTGATGTAAGCGAAAACATATAGTGTATTTCCCTGCTAATTTATGTTTAGCGATATGCAGATGAAGAGGGTATCTTATTAGTCTGTAGTGCGTACTGTAGTTGATACGATTTGCTTTGCAGAAAATGTTGCATTTTCCTCCTTCACTTTCATCCTTCAGTCTTCACAAAGTGAAATAGCGAAACGTTCAGTGGCCTACCAAACGAAGTTGTCAACCAGAACATAAAGACACATCAAGATGACAAAACTTGATAAGACAACCAGTTGAAATCAAGGTCATCAGATTTAATTGATAAAATGCTTACTGCACAATTAGAAAATTATTTTATACATAAAGTCAGCCTCCACGATGTTATTCCTAGAGACAATGAAAGCTTCGGAATCAAACTACACAAATTACAGGGCAAAAAACTGCCAAATGAACCAACTTGAACAAGAGTATCTCTTTAGAATCTTTAGAGCACAAAGCAAACTAAGGACATTTAGAATAACCTAGAAAATTTACGAAGAATTACCTTTTAGGGAAGGCAGTTGAAGTTCGATTTCCATCATCGGCTCCATAATATGCCAGTTAGGTATTTTGGCTACCGCATTTTTTACACTACTTATGCAACAAGTTTTTAACAAAGCTAAAAGGGATGGTGAAGAAAGCTGAGCATTGGATAATTTATCTAAAGTCAAGTCACCAAGACCATTGATACATCCCGAGTCATTTGAAATTTGTTCTACACGGCCACATACAATATTACTAATGTGAATATCTACTCCAATAATAGGGGAACGAAGAATAGGTCCACTAACCTCTAAGGCAGACAAACAGGCTTCGGTGATGGCATGACGTACACGAACGATGTTATGATCTACAAGTCGGTCAAAAATGACCTTTATATATATATACAAAAGAGGATCCGTTTATAAAAATGAAGAAAAACCTTACAATTGAAAAACATTCAAGACTAATAGTAAACATATTCAAATCAAAGTTTAGCATAACATATGATGACAAGAGATTAAAGCGATATTAAAGTCTCTTACTGCACAAGCATTTAATTTGCAATGATAGTATTTTACTGTTCTGCCAGAAAACTTGAGATATATGTCGATGTTATATAAATATTGTTACGGAACTAACGATAAATCTCTACCATTCGTTAGCTGGATTTAATACAAATAATTCACTATCCAATTTGCTTTTAGTGAGAACTTTAATCAGAACAGCATAGGTCAAAACAGTCGGTTAGAAAACCTTTATGATTTTGATCTATGACTAATCAGATTACTTAGATGATTCCTAAAGGGTGCAATGTACAAGGAATCATGGATCACATTTGAAACACTTTTATCGTTAAACTGTTATGTAGATTTACAGTTTAACTGACCAATATTCTTAACCGATTGAAATAAATAATACGTCCGAATAAAACCCATAATAAGAATGACATGTTAACAGTACGAAACAACCTCTTGATGATAAATAAAACACGGGATAAAATCATTTGAAAATTAGCTACCGAGATTTACAGCATTGGTATCCACTACTGACTTTTTTTACGAAAAAAAGATACTTTATTTGTTTCAACGCCTTGAGAGTTAGTAGGATATTCTATTCATCCCACACGTTTCCCAATCGATAGTCATAAGGTTACTATACCGATTTATTCAAATATCATTATCAGGCCGAACAAAACATGTGCTTATAGAGGTGATAACTGTGATCTTAGTCCTAAAGCTGACGAAGCACTGTGGTATGAGCTACTTATATTCATATAAGTAGTATATAACGTGCGTTAAAAGAACGTAATGTCCGGCAGCAGAAGATGGCGAAGATCAAGAAAGGAAGAGCAAGAGCACAATGGAATTGTAAGAAAACGCATGTACAATGGAATGGGAGACAATGGATTAGTGTTTGCGACGGGAACAGTACAGTTTCATATGATGGAATGATATTTTGCAAATTGACGATTGACTTTATGGTATTCACATTTTATTGAGATAGTCTGTAATTTTTGTGCTAAATACAATCGACTGTCCCCACCCGTGTTCTTCTTCACTACAGCACCATCACTAGTTTGAAAAGTTTGCTTAGGTCTATAAAAGGTAGAAAATATTGAGATACAAAAAGCTATGTATTATTCTATAACTGATACACGAATGTATAGGTATAGAAACTATGCGCAGATGAAATACAGTCGGCAGAACTTATCTTCGGAACATCGCTAGTTTAAATAGAATCAGAGAGTCAGTAGTGTTGAAGTTAGACGTAGTGTCAGATAAGACTAAAAATGGCTTATTTGGCTATGAACACGTATCAGATGAAGTGGCTAAGTTACAGAGAGTGAGAAAGTACAAATAAAAACCATAATACCTTTCTATCAATAGGTGAAACTATAAGGCCACAATAGGTCATTAGTCTTCAGATTAAGTGAATTATGGATTAAAGAACCACGCTAAAACCACCATAGCATTAGTGTAAATGGAGAACATTTATTACTTCTATACAATTGACCATGCAGTTTCACAGCTCTTCGAGTTGGAGTTCGCATGAGTAAGTTATAGATCTGATGTGCTATAAATGATTAGAAAATTTATTATGATTTGTGCATACATGTTTTTACCTGAGGTTTGTGAAGTGGATGAATAGTTTTAGGTTGAAGTATCACTCCTATTGCAACAGCTTTTTCACTACCATTTATATATCCAACCACAAAACTCCATCCACTTGAACTGGAAGCATCTTGTGGTGGACATTCTTTGTAAGCGACCAGAAGTGGTCCCATTCGAACATTAACTTTGTATTCACGTTTCAGCCTTGAAAGTACAACATCCAAGTGTAAGTCACCCATTCCAGAAATTATCCATTGTCCAGTTTCTTCATCAAACTTCACCTTTTAGAATAGTGTCAGTGAAGCAAAAGTTTATTGAAACAAATGCAAAACAAGATATATTGCGAGGATACTTGAGTAAGAAATAATTGAAAACATGGACCCATTTAATGATATATGAAAAGAAGATACAATGTAGCTGGCTTAACAGACATTTGCACATTTCAAATTTAAAACACAAGCAAAACAAGTTTAAATCATCAAATGGTTATTATCGTAAGAAATCATATGAGGAACTGTCTTTTATCAGACGATATATATGATAAAAAGTGCTAAGTCTTAGTTCACTCACAGAGCAAGTGAAATATGGGTGTAATTTAATTCATTTGAAGCTGCGTTCAGGAGAGCATGTTCGACGGTCTTGTCTTCTCATCGTCTGGTGAAACTGTGTCGTTCTATTAATCACCAAACATGAATTGAGATTGTCAGAAAGAGATTCAAGGGCAAATTAAAGGATATGACATTTGTATCTCATTCGCTTAATGGGATAATTGCTTAGCCTTTCCACAGCAAAAACTATGCGTCATTATTACTTATGATTGTCCCCGACCATAACTATTACCTTGACGTGGTGGTCGAGCTTGCCTATCGTGATGACCCAACCGAGCTATATTGGCTGGAACATATGTTCCTATAGGTTCTACCATGCCAGGCAGGTCGACTGGAGAACGGTAATACAGGTACGTGTTTATCACTTTATTCATTTCTCATAGATGCGGAAAAACAAAAGTATTGCAAATATTTCGGAAAGTAATGCTACTGTTATTAATCCCACTACTGTGATTCATGAAGCAGTAAAGAACTGTACACCTTTACTACTGCTACAATCAGTACCACGTGGTGGTATTTTGTACAAGGTAATAATTTAAAAAATGATATTAAGATTCCATTTTCTAACTATGAAGTGTTACTGAATGCATAGTCATGTTTTTTTGCTGCGTTTTGTAAATTACTCACGTCATATTACTCGTTTAAATTCAATGGCCTACGCAGTGGGAAGCTGCTAATTTTGTGTTAGATTTTCGTATGGTTATGTATATATAATATTTGTTTGATACATGTCAACAAGAACACCAAGTGATATACTTATTATATTTCTTTTGTAAAATAATAAACAAAATAGATATCTAGATCATACAGGAGCTGTTTACTGGGCATTGAGATATACTTGTAAAACTAAGGTGACAGTTCACTGTTAATCGTAAAATCTCGTTGATTATTTTATTTCTGTATTTGTTTAAGAGCTTATTGGGTTTACGGGTGATTATAATACTAATCGCATACTACTTCATTTTTTTATAATAGATTACACTGTGGAATATTTATCTTATAAAATTCAGCTAATTTTATATTAATATCGCAACATTTTGCCTTCTGAATTATGAGCATTCCTTTCATCTACTTGTTGATACAAAAACATCTGTCCTCTACAAAATCACAAAACAACAGTGCTTAAGTTTTGATAATTTCTATGCAAACAACTTAGTGAGTTTATTAGCTTGGATGTACATATCGCATAAATAAAAGGGAAGTATAATGCCAACTTGTGGTTAAATTCACATAAAGAAACATTAGTCGGGCAATTGTATTTTTTGGTAAATCCTGGTTGTTTTGAACGAAATTTAGAAGAAGTTTATTTGTTTTCTCTAAAAGTGGACGTGCTTTTTCTTCGTCGTTGTACATTTCTACTTTCGGCTCGTCATCCATTCATTGAGATCTAGAGATGCACTGGCTGACTATTCCACGACATCCTAAGATAACAATGAAATTAGAATTGAAAATTTGATTTGATGATTACGATATAATCGTCGTCAAATAAATCATATCAGTAGATTTCACACATACTACCTCTTTTTATTTTTCTCAATCCAGATTCTTTTATAAACTAATTCTTCATTTACGTTTGAACTTACAATTCACCGACACGATAAGCAACATTACTTTTTAAGTACCTAGACCTGAACTGGTTCATGAGGGTACTTGTGAGTTTTGAACAAAAACCCAGCAGCACTGACTTAAACTTATGCAGTATAACCCAAAAGGAAAAGAAATTCCCATCTCATTGTATTTTGGGTATGGTTACAATTAGAAAACGATTCTATACATCTGCACTATATTATGTATGAGTTTTGTCATTTGATTTTTTAAGTTTGGACGTATTCGGTGTAGTTTAAGCCGAACTGTTTTTTCAGGGTCTAGCAATATGATATTTTACCACTTATTTATCATCTTGGTAGTCTTAAATAAGGGAATATTTTAATCGCTGAAAAATTCCCATTATATTAAAACACAATTGTATGAACGAAGAATATTCTTTTCAATATTTTCTCATCAAGTTCTACAATTCATAAATTCAAATTAATAATTCATAAAATTGGCCAGATTTAAGGCAGCGTACATCATTTGGAAATTGTTATATATGAATTAAGAATTGTTGTTTGTTATATAAAATCAATTCAGATCGTTAATGTTGGGGCTGTTTAATATAAAGTGTTAACTTGAATCAGTTTATAAGTGAAATGAAATTGTGCGATAAAATGATCAGAACAAATATGGTCAACATGGGGTTACCAAGAAAATAGTGGAATAAAAATGGGAAATTACGTAATATGTAGAATAATATGAATTAGTAGTATGGGGGTTGTGCAGATTATTACGTTTTTGATTGAGATCATGAACCGATTGATGTTAGACCACCACCTTTGGAAACCTGGAAGCAATGGACGGCCGTTTCGTCCTATTGCGGGGCCCTTCAGCAGCGCGCATCCACGGTCCCGCCCGCGGAATTCGAACCCGGGGCCTTCGGTCTCGCGCGCGAACGCTTAACCAACTGGGCCTCTGAGCCGGCATCCAATGGTGATAGTGTCTAACATCAACCAATCCACAAATTTGCGCGACCAACTTCCATTGTACTGAGGTAGATACCTGTCTCTGGATTAGCTCCACTGATCACGGCTTCTCACTAGAACTCCGAGAATTCCCTCACGAAGCTAGTCACTAGTTAGCACATGTTGGTTACTAGTATGGGGGTTGTGGAGATTATTACGTTTTAGATTGAGATCATGAACCCGACCGAAGCTGCTACCTTAACGCGGTGGTCGGGCTTGCCTATCGTGATGAAGCAACCGAGCTATATTGGCTGGAACATATGTTCCTGTAGGTTCTACCATGCCAGGCAGGTCGACTGGAGAACGGTAAGACTAAAAGTAGCAACTCAAGGTCTGAGGACGAAGTCGTACTGCTGACTGTAGAGAGGTGTGACAACAGTAAGGTGTTTCCCTCAGACAACCAGCATCTGCAGCGATGCTGCCTTCTCACAAATAAGGAAGGGGTTAGAAAAGTTCGACTCTAAAAATGTCACACCTCACCTTACCTCACGGATTTCCGTTTCCGGTGGTAAAGCCCTTTGAAGAACGGAGCTGACACATCAAAAGCTTTCCACGGAAAGGCCGTGCGCGACCGGCCTCAAGCAGTTGTCCCTTGGGTTCTGCGGTCACGCTCCCAGGTCTTTACGACCAACACTAATCCAATTTCCTTTCCAGGTTCCTCAAGAAATACCCTTCCACGGTGTGGGCAGCCGGGATGTGACACCAACCCTCATACCCGTAGTAGCACACAAGACCAAGTTGGTCACATTCAAATCTTTCCTACACCTCCTAATACCTCTCTTATCTCCATGACTAACCCTCCTCACGTCTCTTTATCACCTCGCACCACTAGGGCAAACGATTCGAGTACGCGGAACTTTATTCCTGGTCTCCTGAAACCACGCTCTAAACTACACGTAGGAGCTTTTAACGTCCGAACACTGTGCCAAATAGGACAGCAGGCTTCCTTAGCTAAGACTTTAGAATCCCGCGCCATCGATGTGTGTTGCGTCTCCGAAACGCGCATACAGGACCCGAGTAGTGTCATTCACTTGACCTCACCGTACCAAAATAAAGAACCGACTCGATTCACACTTCGTGTATCTGGAAGCCATGATTCTGCTTCCCATGGCTTCGCCGGCGTAGGTAGGATCCCAGTAGACAGTCGTTTGTGCGCTGTCCGACTAAACGGAACAATAAGGATCCGAAAACATAGGGACACTCGTCGTTACCTCTTCGTCGTCTCTGCCTACTCTCCCACTGACTGCAGCTCAGACGATGTAAAAGATGAGTTTCACAGAAAGCTCTCCGACCTTCTCCGAAAAGCTAGGCGCTCTGATGTAGTAATAATGGCCGGTGACTTTAGTGCTCAATTAGGTAAACTAAGCGATAGGGAAAGACACCTGGGTGGATCTTATGGTGTCGCGGCTCAAAGAACAGATAATGGCGACCGTCTACCGCAGCTATTATCAGATAACCGTCTGTTTCTTACAGACACTAACTTTAAGCACAAGAAAAAACATCTTTTGACATGGCGAACCCCGAATTTGTCCCAACGTTGGACCCTAATAGATCACGACGCTATCAGCCACTGATGGAGGGGCTCGATAGAAGACTGTCACTCATTCCGGAGCACATGCTTAGATTCAGATCATTTTCTAGTGCGAGCGCGTATTTGTCTGCGTCTTACTGAACGTAGGAAAGACGCTGCAAGTAAACCTCTTAGAGCCCTCAGTCAGTCAGTCAGTCAGTCAACTACAACGTAGGACCAGGCACATATATGCATCGGTCCAAGTTGTCATACCTCATTAACACAGCAAGATGAACACCGGATTCATAGGAGTGCTTAGGTCAAAGGTGGTAATATATAGGAGAAAGATTGCATATAAGGATACAGTACAGGAAGAAAGAGTTAGCTCGTAGAAAGAAAGATATGAAGCAATTTTAATCTCTTAGTTTAAGGGAAGACAGGGAGTGTATACACCGACGCCATTGTGATCGATTCTGTACCATGTCACCCACAGTCTCCAACCATTGGTTACGAAAGTCACGCGGACCCCAACCAAGTAGTCTGCATCTACCAACATGGCTCAGACTAGAAGTTAGTGACTTCAAGCACTGATGCCACATTTTGGTTTGGCCGCCCCTAACTTTCTTCCAACCATCCCTAACACCAGTTAGCATTGCACGACGTGGTAATCGCTGTTCGGGCATACGTAACACGTGGCCCAACCATCTCAGTCGATGAAGATTCACAACCTCATCAACTGATTTACCATCATTTTCTAATACCCTGCGTCTAACCTCACTATTACTTACCCGGTGATCCCAGCAGACGCCAGCAATATTTCTGAGGCATCTGTGGTCAAATACTAGTAGCTTACAGGTGTCTTCTACTCTTAAAGGCCATGTTTCGCTGCCGTACCTAATGATAGTCAAGCTAAGAGTATATTTCAGGAACAACTAGAAAAACAGTTAGGCAGCCATGTACGTGATGCCCACCGCGAGGCAGCATGGAATGATGCCCGAAAAGCTGTGGAAACAGCAGTGATATCTGCTAGTACGGTAACCCGTAAGGTTAGGGAGCAACACTGGATCTCAGCAGCATCTATCGCACTGATAGATGCTCGGAAACTCATCCCATCTGGCTCTGAACAGAATGAGGAGCGTAGTCAGCTTAAGCGCAAGCTGATAAGAAGTCTACACAATGACCGTGAACAGTGGTGGGTAGCGAAAGCAAGAGAGATGGAAAAGGCAGCGGCAATAGGTAATAGTAGACAATTGTTCAGACTTGTTAAGGAAACCGGTATTAGGTAACCGACTGTTAGCGAAACACTCTCAGAGAAAGATGGACATATTATACATTCTCAATCCAGGAGATTGGATCGATGGGCAGAACACTTAAGGGATCAGTTCAACTGGCCTTCAGCCACACTTCGGTTTCCCACGATCTCCAGTCAACCTGAATGGCAAGTTAGTGTAGGTCCTCCGACTCTTTACGAAGTTGAAAAAGCCATAGGAAATCTGAAGCGAGGGAGAGCATCAGGCCCTGACAGGTTTACTCCTGAGATTTTTAAGGATGGTGGTTCAGTATTAGCAGTGAGATTAACTGAGGTCTTAGGTAGAATTTGGGAATTGGACGTAATCCCATCTGACTGGTTTCAGTCACTGATTGTGCCAGTTTATTAGAAAGGACAAAAGTCCTCTTGTGACAATCACAGAGGAATCAGTTTGACTAATATAATGTCTAAAATATTAGCTTCAATAATACTTTGACGCCTAATCAAAGCTCGTGAAGAGCAGACTAGAGAAAATCAGGCTGGTTTTCGACCTGGACGTGGTTGTATAGACAAGATATTCACACTACGTCAGGTCCTAGAACATAAACACACATTCAGACGCCCCACAATGGTAGTATTTCTCGACATTAAGGCGGCATTTGACAGTGTTGATCTCGAGGTTCTGTGGTAGTGTTTGTCACTGAAAGGAGTACCAAAGAAGTACATTAACCTTGTAAAGGCTCTCTATTTTCACACAACTGGTCGAGTGAGAGCTTATGGCGAACTGTCATCAGAATTGATTACATCAAGTGGTGTTCGTCAGGGCTATCCACTCTCTCTATCCATGTTTAGCTTTGTCGTTAACGTGCTTTTAAACATAACACTTTCCACATCTAAATTTCCAGGGGTTGAAATTTTACCAGGAGATTCACTTGTTGACTTAGAATATACTGATGACATCGTTCTATTTGGTGAAGACGCTGACAAAATGCAGAGTCTTATGACCATTCTAAGCAACAATGCATGCATGTTCGAGATCCGATTCTCCCCCTCGAAATGCGAAATGTTGCTTCAGGATTGGGTTACTTCGACACCCGGATTAATAGTACGGGGTGAAGTAGTTGGGCGTGTCGATCGCTTCACTCATATTGGAAATCTCATCAGTCCTTGTGGTCTGGTGTGTGACGAAATCTCATCACGGATACAGAAGGCTCGATTAGCTTTTGCCAACTTGCGTCATTTATGGCGTAGGCGAGATATCCGTCTAACAACCAAATGACGTGTTTACTGCGCAGCAGTTCGTTCCTTCCTACTTTATGGCAGTGAAACATGGCCGGTAAGAGTAGAAGATATTCGTAGGTTACTAGTATTCGATCATAGATTTCATCGAAACATTGGTCGTATATCCTGAGACCACCGAGTAAGTAACTCAGTTGTTAGGAAACGGGTACTAGGTAAGGATGGCGAACCAATTGATGAAGTAGTAAAACTTCACCAGTTGAGATGGCTGGGACACGTGTTACGTGTGTCCACCCACCGACTGCCTCGACGTGCGATGTTTTCTGGTGTAGGAGTAAGTTAGAAGAAAGCCAGGGGTGGCCAGATCAAAACGTGGCACAAATCCATGAAGTCACTGACAAGTGGACTGAGCCATGTTGGCAGGTGTAGACTACCTGGTTGGGGACCGCGAGATGATACCGACCGATGGTTAAAGACCCTGAATGACATAACTCAGAATCGATAACTGCATCTCTGTGCTAATGTGGTATGGCAACTCGAACTGATGTACGTACGTACGAAGTTCTACGTTGTTACTAACTAACAATGATTGTTCAAGAAAACTTATATTTTCACGCTGTAAATGGTCACTGAGACTATCAATTGCAAAATAAATTGTCGTGGCCAGATTAAACGGTCCAGTTGCACCGCATCTACTAGATTTAGTTACTCAATAATATGTGGAATGTATTGGAATGTTAGGTGGCTGAACATAATTATTAAGACTAGTATTGTTTTGTGCTAACTGAGATTTGTCAAGAGGGCATATATCCAATGTTCAACGATTCTTGACAACCTTTTGGCAGGGTTATTGGAAAGCAAGACAATTTATGTGATAATAATAATAATGTTATGACTAATGGCCCTGTCAAATATCACGTGACAAGATCACTAGTCAGAACACCGCCATGTATGATCTTATCACAGTGCTAAACCAATGTGTTAATCAGAACGAGCGCGATTGAGTTAACTGAGTCCTTACCGGTCCTCAAAATAGTAACTTCTCGCCTATCACAGCCCGTTGGGTTCAGAACACAAATATCAACCTCCGCTACATGAATCATATATTTTAGACTGCACCACACCATAAAATAAAAAATAATAATCATACAGGATCAAGTCAAAAGTGGATGTGAGTATGCGATACTGTAACTAGTAGATTGCGGATAAATAAAGAATGGTGTATCGTGTAACAGTAGTCAACGGGCTAAGTGAAAGCTTATGATGAAAGAAATACGAATACATACATGACCCAGTTACTTAGTAATTATCCAATAAGAATATATATGTAATAACAGTTCATAAATAATTCTTAGCAGTTACCATTCATTTACTGTTCGTTGGGACATAATAATAATAATAATAACAATAATAATAATAATAATAATAATAATAATAATAATAATAATAATAATAATAATAATAATAATAACAATAATAATAATAATAATAATAATAGTAATGGTAATAATAAATGTGACTATATTACCGTGTGAATAGCAACCGAAGATACTGCTGACACAATAATGGAGGAGGGAATCACATATACCTGAGATATGGAGAGTTTAGTCGCGCGTGATCACAAAGTAACTGGGTTAAAAGTAACACTGGTCAGTAGATTAATAAATGTATTTTTGGAATATCTAGCTCTTTAAACAGCTATTAATTTCTACATAAGGGATAGAGTTACTAGACTCTCAGTATCTTTTTCCCTTTCTTAAGTGGTACACAATATAAAGATCAGGTGAACTGGAAATGGTGAAAACGATCAAATTAGTTCATTTCATCAATACAGTAATTGTGAAAAACAACAATAGTAAAAGCTAGACTTACATGAAAGCTCGGATCTTCACGTTGCATACAATTGAGAGCATGTTCAAGTGCATTTATTTCGGATCGACTACCAGGTTCAACCGCAGCGTATACAACAGGTTCGGATACTTGAAATACGGAAGGTGATTCTGGTCCATTGTCAAATATTTCTTCAGTATCATTTAATTCAGTACCATTGGAATTCTCTACTTGTCTACTTTTAGTCGAATTCAAGACAGGACCTAAAACATCGCCTGTGTACGTTGACTGAAGTCCACTTAAAGCAATAATACTACCAGGTCCAGCACTGTTAACTACTTCTAACGAATCTCCATTTAGTTGAAATACATTTAAGATCTATAGGGTAAAAAATACATATGGACAAGTTTTATTGCAAAGTAATACAATATACGTCGATATCAATAACTAGTTAGCAACCATGTTTTGCACTTCGTACACAGATGAGTTCTGAACCACAAAGCTGGAAACTGTTGATTCAAATTTAACTATAATTCGCTTATGGTTTATGACCTCACAATATTTTATCCCTGGTCTGCTGAAACCATGCACTAAACTACGTGTTGAAGCTTTTAATGTTCGAACCTTCTGTCAGATAGGAGAACAAGCTTCTTTAGCTAGGACTATAGAATCTCGCACCGCATCTCCGAAACGCTCATACAAGATCCAAGTATGGTCATTCATTTAACCTCACTTGATGAATATGAAAGACTGGCACGACTTACTCTTCGAATATCTGGAGACCCTACTGCTATTCCCTGTGGACTCGCTGGTGTAAGTATAGTATTAAGTTATAAAGCAGAACAGGCTCTATTAGACTGGATTCCAATAAGCAATCGCTTGTGAGCTGTCAGACTAAATGGGACAGTAAGAACTCGGATATGAACACACGCCATTGGTTTTTTGTTGTCTTTACCTACACTTCCACTGATTGAAACTCCGATAAAGTAAAATATGAATTTTATAGCCAACTTTCCCAACTTTTTTGCACAGCTAAATGCTAAAGTAGATAAACCAAACTAAACCGAAAGGCACTTGGATGGATGTTACAATGTTGCAGCTCAGTGAACAAATAATGGCGACCATCTGTTGCAAATAGGCTAAGATAACCGTTTGTTTCTAGCAAGCTTTGAGAAAAAAACACTATCTTACATGGCGACCCCCGCAATCGACTCAACGATGGATTCAAATAGTCTACAATAACATCAGCCATCGTTGGAGAGGCTCGATAGAAGGCTACCCTGCTCATTCTGAAGTACATCTTTAGACTTAGAACATAACTGTTAATTCGATAAACTGATAATTGTTTTTTTTGGAATTATTTTCCATTATGATATTTACGACTAGACTGGCAAATTACAGATATATTATAGAACCAGGTAAATTGAACTTGTATACGTTTCGATAGTACATTCACAGTGCTGACTTACTTTCTCTGGTAAATGTATATCTTTATATCGGGACCAATTAGCAATTTGAGAACCAGGTGTAATTACACCGGAATATATGCGTACTAAGGTAAGCGGACCACGATGTGGATCAAAACATATCCTGAATACAAGCATGATTGGGAAATTCGATGATAGAATACTGTGACGATTATCTAAGTCTCTAGAGGCTTTCAAAAGATCACTTGGATTCGGTAATGTAGATTTCAACGATTTATAAACCTTTAAAATAGAGATTGGAATATTGGAATGACTAGGATCTGGTAGGTAATCAACAATAAAATCCAATAAAGGCTGAATCCCGATGTTATTTCGACTACTACCAACTAACACTGGTATGACTTGGAAGGAAAGAATTGCCTAAAATAAAAGTAAGTAATAGGGCTAGACAATAAAAGGGATACAGCGTTAAGATTATAATTGTTTGATTTAGTGGATATTATTGTAAAGTAATAAAAATAGCAAGTATATACATATTATGATAATGGTTAGAAATCATTAAATGTTCACACCTGTGTTAGCAAATCTCCAGGTGTTAAAAAATGTTATTACTTTGAGAATGCATATGTGTCAATCCTCATACGCGACATTACATTTAGTTACATGAGTAAAGACAAGTTGAATCAATTTACCGCAAGATCGATTATATTTTATTTGACAAAGTGACTGCAGTTGTGACCAAAGTAGATGATCAGCTGACAGAAATCTTAGTGAAACTATATAGTACTATTTTACTCTGACACATACAAATCATAAAATATCGCCGACAAATACTAGACGCCATTCTGTACAATAAAACCAACCTTTTTTAAACTTTTATGAACAATATCTGAAGGAACCAATAAATCTGGACGATCGAGTTGCAAGAATTTATCTGCAAATTCGTCATCGATATCGGCCAATGTACTTAGTAGCTGCATACGAGCACTTAGTGCCTCTTGAATTCCACTTGGGTTCAGAGTGTTTTTAATGGAAGATTTCGATTTCGGTAGATGAGAGCAATGTGATACAGTAGCTGTATTGATACCTTCGAATAAATCAGATGATGTATAAACATCATCAGGACCGTTACATGAAATCCAATTCTAACAGAGAAATAGATAATAAATTACGAGAATGGTAAATATAAATGTAACTTTTCAGAAGATTAATGTAACAATGGTAGTGTACCTATCGTTATGCAAGGTTCATAGAAATAATTATTCCTTTAGTTGTTTATCATCCGAAAAGCAGAAAAAAGGTTGATGATTGTAAAACAAATAAACTGATAAACTCGGTCAGTCAATTCTAGTCAACACCTAACATTTTAACTAGTGTTATAGATATATAATTTTTAACAAAGAACAACATGTCATCAAACAAATAATTGAAATCCCTTTCTATATAAGTATGTGTTTGATTGACTCCGCCTGTAGCTCTTTTACGCAAGATATTCAATGTTTGTTGACCAGATACCATCAGCAACAGTCTTGTGGGTGAGAACAAACCAGCTTCCAGCCGAAGAGGAAATTAGGAAAAAACGTCGGTGGTGGATAGGACATACATTGAGGAAATCACCAGACTGCATCATGAAGCAAGCGCTAACTTGTAATCCTCAAGGGAAACGGAAAAGAGGATGGTCAAGGAACACATTGCACCGAGAATTGGAAGCAGAGATGAATAGGATGAATAGTAACAGGAGACAACTGGAAAAGATTGCCCAGGACAGAGTTGGATGGCGAATGCTGTTGGACGGCCTATGCTCAACCACGAGGGGTAACAGGCGTAAGTAAGTACATCGTGGTTTTTCTACAGCTGCATATAACCTAGAAACAACAGTAATAATCAGTTACAATCAACGTACATACTTTATTTCGTATTAGTAAATATTAGAATAACAACAAGCACGGAGGAATTGTGGCACGCGGTACCGATCATCTTCTCAATGCGCAGTAGTTATTAAACGTGAAAACTCTAGAAGAAAAATCGCTCTTTTTCAAAGATATCGTCACACTGACCTTGTATTTTACAGCTGTCAGTTAAGGTCTTTTTTCTAATGCATGAGTTATATTGTATTTCACTGTTATTTAGCAAATTATATGAATATGTCAAATTAATTCTGTTCAAGTAAGAACATCTTAATCAAACACATTACTTACTCCTGTTACCCCTCGTGGTGGAGCATGGCCGTCCAACAGCATTCGCCATCCAACTCTGTCCTGGGCAATCTTTTCCAGTTGTCTCCTGTTACTATTCATCCTATTCATCTCTGCTTCCAATTCTCGGTGCAATGTGTTCCTTGACCATCCTCTTTTCCGTTTCCCTTGAGGATTACAAGTTAGCGCTTGCTTCATGATGCAGTCTGGTGATTTCCTCAATGTATGTCCTATCCACCACCGACGTTTTTTCCTAATTTCCTCTTCGGCTGGAAGCTGGTTTGTTCTCACCCACAAGACTGTTGCTGATGGTATCTGGTCAACGGACATTGAATATCTTGCGTAGACAATTGTTTATAAATAATTGAACATTTTGATGATGGTTGTGGTAGTTATCCAAGTTTCAGCTCCGTACAGTGGAACTGTCTTGACGTCCGTATTGAAGATTCTGACCTTGATATTGGTTGACAGTCGTTTAGAGTTCTATATGTTTTTCAACTGCAAGAATGAGGCCTTTGTTTTACCAATCCTTAACTTTACATTTTCATTAGATCCTCCTTGTTTGTCGATGATGCTGCCCAGATACGTAAAACTTCTCCTATGGCTCTCCTAGGGTTACTGCCGGTCCCAAGTCCAGGTAAAGGAGTAGGGTTGGGCATAAGGTCAGCAACTCCATCCCATAGAAAACAACCTTGCTACAAAAACATCAACCAGAATAAACAAACCACGAAATGAATCCCGCTTATCATTCCATGTTTATTGTCCTTGCTTTAGGTAAATATATCAATCCGAAAACATTTTATGAAATTAATCTCATTTAACTGAAAAATAAATGTTTCTACTTGGTTCGATTGATAAAGTTTATGAATGGTTTTACACAATACTTTTATTGCGGAAAAATACAGGAATCTGTGGAAAGTCTCCAAGCTTTGTTATCAATATTTAAAGAACACATAAAGCAATCAGTAAAAATGTTAGTAAAAAGTAACTAGAAAACATTTGACAGGCTGATGTGTACAGTGCGAACGGAAAGCATAGATAGTGTTGTTGACATAATTCTTACAATTAGAGCAATAAATGAAGGCATGTTGGTCATAACTTGTCAATTTTATAAGTAATAATTATTGGGACTCGAAAGATCAAATACAATAATATTCTGAGTATAGTTTAGTGATTCAGGTCCATAAAAACAGTAAAAATCTTGTAGGTCACGGTAGGTAATGTATAAAGAAAGCGTACTTTACATAGGAATTTCTAACCACTCCATAAAATCTAACGTGCATTTTAGCATCGTACTATGACATTCAGATTTTCTGATGACAGATATTTTAGTTAGTTGCAAACAGAAATTTGTTCTCTTGATTCTAATGCTGACCAGAAGTATGCTGGCTAATTTGTGACAGTACAACATATAGGGTTACACTTCGAACAACCGAATGTATTCGATGTTAACAGGGAAATCCACATATGTCGCGGAATATATGTTAAAAGTTTGATCACAATAATGAAGAAAGATGTAATTGGTAAATAATAACACTTTCACACAAACGTACATGAAATTATGACAGTGTAATTTAAAGAAGTAAGGATTTGAGTCACAGAGCTACTCCTTGCTGTTGCAAAAAGTGAAGCGATAAGGTTCATAACAAAACAAGAACGAATTTAACGAGTAACATATGATATCGCACTTCGGACCGCTCATCCATAGCATGTGACTTTTTAACTAGGCTGTGTTTTAGCCACTTTTCTTAAATCCTAACCAGTTCTAATAAATGTACACTCAAATGGCTTGGACCAAATTGCCGAGCAAAACGCTGGATGTACTTAAAGTCCAATCGCTGAGACTTAAAAATATAATTTCTTTTTTGATGTCTTACATTAACTTCGTGCTCAACTATTGTGAAACTGTTCGTTCAAATTCAGACGAAAGATCTTGGAAATGGATTTTTTCCTTTTATAAGTTTTAGGACTTGCAATTCTGTTTTTAATATTCAGGACTACATTTGACCAGATTTTGTTAACACAAGGAGCTGCTTAAGAGAATGCTTCGATACTGAGTACAACACAATTACACTTTGAATAGCGATTAGCAATATAATCAACAGTGAGGTGGAGATTACATCACTTGATAGGTTCCAAACTGAACTAAATGTGTCTTGAATTCGACTGCTAGCCACTAACAAAATTAATAATTAACATGCTTATATTCTGTTTTTAATTCAAACGTAGATACGACTATATAGGAAATCTCACTATAAAAAATTGGAATGAGAATTATACAGATTTTCGTTTCACATACAGAATAATCAAAACATATCTATTCATAATGCTTGGATACACGGTAAACACTTATCAATTTTAAATACAAAAATTTTACAAACTTAAAAATTTACGTAAACCTCTGATCATTATTTACTTTTAATTGCATCGTAGTCAAATCTACAAGTCCAACAAATTGACTGGTACCATTGTTTTTAATATATTTATTAGAAAGCGAAGTAGACGTATTCGAAGCATTAATTAATGATGATGTGTTATCTGTATTAAGACTATGAGAAAATACTGGCCAATGAATAGGCATATAATGTGCTTTTGTAGGCAGCTGTTTAGATAAACTGCGTAAGCAGAGATCGACGTTAGCCATTGGGCGGTCCATTTTATTGATATAGATTAGACATGGAAGACAGTAACGATGGGCCTGGCGACTTGAGAGAAAAGGATACGAAAAAAAAGGTGGGTAACAGGAACAAATGCGATATTATAGACTATATCAAAACATTGTATTTGCAACCCCACAAACCCCTTAAGATTAGGCTCAAACTAAAATATCAATTTGTAATAGTATACAGAGTTACGAGTAATGCAGGTCTGTTATTTTAGTCTGGAAATATTCTTTGCGAAATTTAGTGATCTATGACTTTTAGATTAACTAATTCCAGGATAATCATGAATTATCTCCCACTGATGATTTTATCAAATGTGAAGGCATTACTAATCTTGGTAGCTATGTATCACAGTAAAAAAGGGGTATCCTATGCAGAATTTCTCGTGAAAAAAAAACTTTTAAACAGTAACTCGTTAAAGTATGAGTTAAAGGAAAATAAATAAATTTACTTATTTAATAGTTGAATTCATGACTCAATTGAAGCTAGACCACCATGAAAAACCTGGAAGCACTGGACGGCCGTTTCGTCCTAGTATAGGACTCCTCAGCAGTGCGCATCCACGATCCCGCCTCGCGAGATTAGAAACCCAGGACCTATCGGTCTCGCGCGCGAATTGACTTATACAACTATCAATTACCAGAAGATGGGCAGTTAGCGCCAAATTGCAAAATGAAACAAGTACTCACCACACAGTATGTGTCTGAGGTTGAACACCTTTGACCGCATCCAATATAACGGCAACACTATCTAAAACAGTTAGACTTCGTTCAACTTCAAATGTGAAGTCTACATGTCCTGGAGTATCCAACAAGTGAATTATATGATTTCTCCAAGACAGAGAAGCTGATGCAGTAACAATGCTTATACCACGTTCACGTTCTTCTGGTAAGTAATCAGTCACAGTATCTCCATGATCCACTTCACCGAGATAGTGTATACGTCCTAAATTATTAAAAGCACGTAATTATTTCGTAGAATCAATGGCGAGTCATGAGCATAAATACAGAAAATGGGCTGGAAATAAATACAAAGTGAATGTAGGGTAAATACTGAATAGTAATCTTAAAGTAAGTTGGCTGTAGCGACATCAAAATTAGATACTAAATAGATATAAACTGAACGATCAAACAATCCAAGCAATCACTTTGATCCACATAGAGCGATGAATAAATTGTGCACCACATGAACGTTTCTACATTAGGTTAAAATTTGCATTATCATACGACGGGTTTAGCTTTATCGAAAAGATGTGATTCAGTAGTTCAGGCAACACACAGGCAGCCATTTGATGAATGATTCGAACGTTGGTCTACTTGTTACAATATCGACAAGTGGGCGGTACATTATAATTCATTTTACTGATTCGTGTACTTGGCTTCAAGCCACACTTTAAGTATGACGGCCAATGATACTATCTGGTTACCCTAACCGTAGAAAATGAAACGAGTTTTGAATCTCAAACACAACAGCTGAAAGTCGAACATCATAATCACAGAGTCGCCCCTCCAAAAACTCTTGATGAGACAATAAAGAGGTGGAGGGCATATATATAAAATAAGACTCTGAACAACAATAGATGCATGCACTACTCCATCGCCTTTGGTATATCAGGAAACTTGAAAATAACAATAACAGTATTAGATCATAGGACAGGTCAGGTATTTATTGTTAGTAGCCAGTACATAATCTACGTAGCTTGAAACCTGAGAGTGATTCTAAAGCTCTAATTAGGTAAGATGCTATTTCAATTTCCCCACTTAATTTTGGAGGTATACGTAACTACAGAAGTGATGATAAAAATGTTTCTTCAGCTAGTGTTAAATTGTGATACAAAATACCATCTCCAAAGAATCACTTAACACAATACAAGTGAATAAAAAATTATTTATATGACACGCTTATTAATTTCTACTAACAAACGAATAAATATTTTACTCACGCTCTTATTTATAAGCTCTGGGATAAAGCATTTCTTTGGCAATGATAGAAGAAAGAATACATCAAAAACGTCCTACTTGATAATTTACTAAATACTATCAGTTAAAATACAGAGTAGTTTCAGCATGTTTAAGACAAAAATGATTGGTAGAATAGGGTGTTACGAAATGCACCACGATAATGGTTATGAAGCAATAAGCCCCTAAATGCCCTGGTACGGCCGAGAGTGAGGAGAGTCCGTTCTCCCTCTCGAAATGTTCTCACATGGCCACGCGTAAATAGCCTCTGCCAGGGAAGTCCTACTCATCGCCTTCTCGCGGTAGGGGTGTTGTTTACGAAACTGAGAGGACGAAAAGCGAATGTCTGGCACTTTAACTGGGTTAGTGGAGACTGAGAGTCCACCTAGGGGAGCTGAAAAACTCTGATTCCGAACCAATGGTGCACGTGGGCTCCATGGATCCTGAAGGAACAAATGGTGTAAGAACGAATTGTTGGTCACCGGCTACCATAGGACTGCATCTCCTACCGTTGCTCCACTACCTTGTAGATCAGAACTTTAGGTCGAAGGTTCCGTGTGTGGCCCCCTAAGAAAACCACCTGCTTCGATTTGGGCACCCGGGCAGTATCACAGCTCTCACACAAATCAAATGAGATTTTTGTGGTGCATATGTATTCGGTGCCTCTTTATACCAAGATCTATGTGTTCAAATAAATAAATAAATAAATAACAATAATAATAATAATAAAGCAATAAGACATGAATTCATGTAACGATAGCAATTTTGCTCATGGATGAAGTTTGAATACGAATACAAGATAAAATTCATTATCTTAACCTACATGTTAGTGCTTAAGAAGAGCAAGAAAGCAAAACAACGCAGTGGCCACTAATTTTAATTCCGGTCCATGTCTGAATAAGTTCCAAATAACTGAGTTGCATACACCTCATAGATGAAGGAGTGATAAGACAATATATATATAAACTAGATAGAAATATCCTGAATTCCACAGCTTTGTCATAAAATAACCACCTTTACACTTTACCCAGACAGTCGTAAACAATCTTCAACAAGAAATTTGCAAAAATATCATGAAAAATGCATGATGAGGAAATAACTCTTCACGACTAGTAAGCAAAAGCATTAAATCATGGAATCGCTTGACCTGTTATATACACTTATCTCATGCACGAGTCAATGGTTATATATAAATATATTTTTTTAAATCTATTTTGTAAGCACACACAGATGCATACAGGTTACAAAACTCAGTTACTATGTGAAGGGTAGCTGCACAGAAGTAGATCGACGGAGATTGTACATATAGCCACAGCTTTGAATGTCAGCTCACGAGTTTATAAAATAAAGTCCATCCTATTGAAAGGCATAGGATCATTAATTGTATATGCCGTATAGGCATCCAAACACGTTTTAACTTAAAAAGTTCTTCACAAGAAAAACATTTTTTTAGCATAATGCAACTCAATGAACTATTTACATTGAAACAACTTCGGTGATCAGCAGTTGACAACACATTTGGAGTTAACATACCACCTTATATTATGCAATTGACAGTTATATAAAAATATTTAGTAACATGTAAGATAGTTGTTTTTACGAAGCGGTGTAATCACAAATCTTTTCGTGGAACTGTTTTATGTGAGAACACCTTTATCATTTATTGGTTGTGTTACTTTAGAAACATCTAAAAAAACAACATTTGCACTCAGTTACCGGCTAACAGGCATGGAAACAGAGTACACACATAGATATATGAAATATGATTATGTATCATTTACTTTTAATTTACGAAGAACCTAGTAAACGCTAGAAGCTTTCAATCTTTATATGTGACTGATCTGATAGAAGTACCACAATTTTATACAGATGTCTCAATGAAATGCAAAATAAAGAGACAACATAATATATCAAGCTAAACGCTTACGAGCATAATAAAGCATGCGTTCTGTAGTAGTCGTTTTACCAGCGTCGATATGAGCAATTAAACCAACATTTCGTATTGTTGCGATAGGTGGATCACTGACTGAAATTTTCGCTTTAAGATTACTACCTACATGTTGTGCATAAGTATGCGCATGGCGACAGCGCTTGTAGTCATACTTAAGATTTAACAAATCGAACCATTTGGATGAGGGTAAGACGCGCAGATTGCTGTGAATTAGCATTTTTCAGTATTGTTAGGCTAAAAAAATAATGCTCGACATTTATTATATCTCACAACGAAAGGATAATATACTGGCATAACAGTTAAACATTAGAATCAAATATTAAAATTCAAGCTTGAAATTAATTGGAATTCCACAACTTTGTACACTATGCCATTTTGTGAAGCCTAGTTTCATATATTATTATTACTGTTATTTTGAATATAATTTTTCTAAACACTAGCGGAATTTATCACTGAGTTTCATGCAAATATCTTCCCTTTAATATGGGTTTGATTCTGAATGGCACGATTTTACACTATAACACTAAACACATTTTCTCAAAGACAGATTATTAAGGAAAACTGTTACATGACTATATATATAGTGAATAAACTGCATAGCTTTTGATCAAAAAGACTGAGCGGAAAAGTTCATATGAAAACCCAAAACAGTGCCACAAACTATAAGTTTATAGGAAACCTAAAATAGAAGCAGGATTCTAACACTAGCAAGAATGTTCTTCTATACTAAAGCAATTCAGTTGTTCAGCTGTTCAATAGTTCCAACGAACTAGGGCACAGTAGCCCACCACTTCAACAGAAGATAGTGTTAATTTTATTTGAAAACAGTGGATAATCATCAGACAGACTTTCTAATGCAAACACTGAAGCAAATATTCTTGGAAGTAAATTTAAAGAACAATGTATACAAGAAAAGATATGTTTATAAAAGTATCTATTGTAACGAATGGATATTTACAAGCGTACGATTTCTATAGAAAAACGAAGTTTGGAAGGAAATTAGTTAATGTGATCTAAAATTAGCATATGCACGATTCTCTTCACATTGTTTATGTAATTCAACCTTGTATTTGACAGCTTTCCCTTGGTTTTGTGAAGCCACCATAAATTCGTTTGCCAGAGATATCCATATTCGTTGATCACGTGGCTTTCCTCTAGCTGCGTCCAAAATAAATTTCACTGCAGTATGCGTGGCAACCGAAGAAGATACTGGAGGAGCAGGAACCTGTACAGACAAAACATTGCAGACGAATATGTAGCACAAACATATTAACGTAACTAGGTTCATAGAACGATGAATTAAAATAGTCAGACCGATTAAATGATAATTTTCGATGGCTGTCTGACAATAAGTAGGAAGTTCTCAAAGAGAGCACGCACGGTACTGAAGATGTAGCTAAGTGATAAACAAATTTCAGTCGACATAAATGCTTAATCTAGTAATCTTAGAATAACATTGAAAAAAAGAAGTTCTGAATTCCTGGTATAATTATGGGGTTCAGTAGGTCAAATCAAATGTGATTATGAAATATTTCATTCACTCCGAGGTTGAAAGATAAATTACCTAGACTAACCACTTCATTCTGTATCCATCAATTCAACTGCTCCTGTGAAGCAAGTTATATCGGCAGATGTTCTAGGAATTTATAAATTCGGGCTCGTGAGCACCTCCCCGTGTGGTTAAGCAAAGGTGTAGTAAAAACTGTTAGCAACTCCATCTTACACCATCTAGTTCATACAGGGCATACAGCCAACATAGAGCAATCGTTTGCAATAATCTATCGTGTTGACAGCAGTCTACCTAATTGCGTCAGACTGCGAATTCTACAGACGGCTGAAGCAATTGCTATCCGGATCAAAAAGCCAGAGATTTGTATCCAAAAGAAGTATGTTCCGCCACTCACTTTACCCTGGGCAACTTTGGGGCCAACTAGTTAATAATTAATTTTATAATATGGTGACGTAATCTGATTAATGTTCATTTTATGTCCCAAACTTATTATTATTATTATTATCTTTACACTTGATAACCTTTTTTGAGGAATTTATTCAATATCCACCCCTAAATCTACTATATCTGATCTCATCCATACTTTTTGATTGAGATCATGAACCGATTGATGTTAGACCACCACCTTTGGAAACCTGGAAGCAATGGACGGCCGTTTCGTCCTATTGCGGGGCCCTTCAGCAGCGCGCATCCACGGTCCCGCCCGCGGAATTCGAACCCGGGGCCTTCGGTCTCGCGCGCGAACGCTTAACCAACTGGGCCTCTGAGCCGGCATCCAATGGTGATAGTGTCTAACATCAACCAATCCACAAATTTGCGCGACCAACTTCCATTGTACTGAGGTAGATACCTGTCTCTACCCGACATGGATTAGCTCCACTGATCACGGCTTCTCATTAGAACTCCGAGAAATCCCTCACGAAGCTAGTCACTAGTTAGCACATGTTGATTACTAGTATGGGGGTTGTAGAGATCTCAAACAAAAACGTAATAACAACTGCGTTATTTACTCGATAGTCTCAGGATATACGACCAATGTTTCGATGAAATCTATGATCGAATACTAGTAACCTACGAATATCTTCTACTCTTACCGGCCATGTTTCACTGCCATAAAGTAGGAAGGAACGAACTGCTGTGCAGTAAACACGTCATTTGGTTGTTAGACGGATATCTCGCCTACGCCATAAATGACGCAAGTTGGCAAAAGCTAATCGAGCCTTCTGTATCCGTGATGAGATTTCGTCACACACCAGACCACAAGGACTGATGAGATTTCCAATATGAGTGAAGCGATCGACACGCCCAACTACTTCACCCCGTACTATTAATCCGGGTGTCGAAGTAACCCAATCCTGAAGCAACATTTCGCATTTCGAGGGGGAGAATCGGATCTCGAACATGCATGCATTGTTGCTTAGAATGGTCATAAGACTCTGCATTTTGTCAGCGTCTTCACCAAATAGAACGATGTCATCAGTATATTCTAAGTCAACAAGTGAATCTCCTGGTAAAATTTCAACCCCTGGAAATTTAGATGTGGAAAGTGTTATGTTTAAAAGCACGTTAACGACAAAGCTAAACATGGATAGAGAGAGTGGATAGCCCTGACGAACACCACTTGATGTAATCAATTCTGATGACAGTTCGCCATAAGCTCTCACTCGACCAGTTGTGTGAAAATAGAGAGCCTTTACAAGGTTAATGTACTTCTTTGGTACTCCTTTCAGTGACAAACACTACCACAGAACCTCGAGATCAACACTGTCAAATGCCGCCTTAATGTCGAGAAATACTACCATTGTGGGGCGTCTGAATGTGTGTTTATGTTCTAGGACCTGACGTAGTGTGAATATCTTGTCTATACAACCACGTCCAGGTCGAAAACCAGCCTGATTTTCTCTAGTCTGCTCTTCACGAGCTTTGATTAGGCGTCAAAGTATTATTGAAGCTAATATTTTAGACATTATATTAGTCAAACTGATTCCTCTGTGATTGTCACAAGAGGACTTTTGTCCTTTCTAATAAACTGGCACAATCAGTGACTGAAACCAGTCAGATGGGATTACGTCCAATTCCCAAATTCTACCTAAGACCTCAGTTAATCTCACTGCTAATACTGAACCACCATCCTTAAAAATCTCAGGAGTAAACCTGTCAGGGCCTGATGCTCTCCCTCGCTTCAGATTTCCTATGGCTTTTTCAACTTCGTAAAGAGTCGGAGGACCTACACTAACTTGCCATTCAGGTTGACTGGAGATCGTGGGAAACCGAAGTGTGGCTGAAGGCCAGTTGAACTGATCCCTTAAGTGTTCTGCCCATCGATCCAATCTCCTGGATTGAGAATGTATAATATGTCCATCTTTCTCTGAGAGTGTTTCGCTAAGTCGGTTACCTAATACCGGTTTCCTTAACAAGTCTGAACAATTGTCTACTATTACCTATTGCCGCTGCCTTTTCCATCTCTCTTGCTTTCGCTACCCACCACTGTTCACGGTCATTGTGTAGACTTCTTATCAGCTTGCGCTTAAGCTGACTACGCTCCTCATTCTGTTCAGAGCCAGATGGGATGAGTTTCCGAGCATCTATCAGTGCGATAGATGCTGCTGAGATCCAGTGTTGCTCCCTAACCTTACGGGTTACCGTACTAGCAGATATCACTGCTGTTTCCACAGCTTTTCGGGCATCATTCCATGCTGCCTCGCGGTGGGCATCACGTACATGGCTGCCTAACTGTTTTTCTAGTTGTTCCTGAAATATACTCTTAGCTTGACTATCATTAGGTACGGCAGCGAAACATGGCCTTTAAGAGTAGAAGACACCTGTAAGCTACTAGTATTTGACCACAGATGCCTCAGAAATATTGCTGGCGTCTGCTGGGATCACCGGGTAAGTAATAGTGAGGTTAGACGCAGGGTATTAGAAAATGATGGTAAATCAGTTGATGAGGTTGTGAATCTTCATCGACTGAGATGGTTGGGCCACGTGTTACGTATGCCCGAACAGCGATTACCACGTCGTGCAATGCTAACTGGTGTTAGGGATGGTTGGAAGAAAGTTAGGGGCGGCCAAACCAAAATGTGGCATCAGTGCTTGAAGTCACTAACTTCTAGTCTGAGCCATGTTGGTAGATGCAGACTACTTGGTTGGGGTCCGCGTGACTTTCGTAACCAATGGTTGGAGACTGTGGGTGACATGGTACAGAATCGATCACAATGGCGTCGGTGTATACACTCCCTGTCTTCCCTTAAACTAAGAGATTAAAATTGCTTCATATCTTTCTTTCTACGAGCTAACTCTTTCTTCCTGTACTGTATCCTTATATGCAATCTTTCTCCTATATATTACCACCTTTGACCTAAGCACTCCTATGAATCCGGTGTTCATCTTGCTGTGTTAATGAGGTATGACAACTTGGACCGATGCATATATGTGCCTGGTCCTACGTTGTAGTTGACTGACTGACTGACTGAGGGCTCTAAGAGGTTTACTTGCAGCGTCTTTCCTACGTCCAGTAAGACGCAAGCAAATACGCGCTCGCACTAGAAAATGATCTGAATCTAAGCATGTGCTCCGGAATGAGTGACAGTCTTCTATCGAGCCCCTCCATCAGTGGCTGATAGCGTCGTGATCTATTAGGGTCCAACGTTGGGACAAATTCGGGGTTCGCCATGTCAAAAGATGTTTTTTCTTGTGCTTAAAGTTAGTGTCTGTAAGAAACAGACGGTTATCTGATAATAGCTGCGGTAGACGGTCGCCATTATCTGTTCTTTGAGCCGCGACACCATAAGATCCACCCAGGTGTCTTTCCCTATCGCTTAGTTTACCTAATTGAGCACTAAAGTCACCGGCCATTATTACTACATCAGAGCGCCTAGCTTTTCGGAGAAGGTCGGAGAGCTTTCTGTGAAACTCATCTTTTACATCGTCTGAGCTGCAGTCAGTGGGAGAGTAGGCAGAGACGACGAAGAGGTAACGACGAGTGTCCCTATGTTTTCGGATCCTTATTGTTCCGTTTAGTCGGACAGCGCACAAACGACTGTCTACTGGGATCCTACCTACGCCGGCGAAGCCATGGGAAGCAGAATCATGGCTTCCAGATACACGAAGTGTGAATCGAGTCGGTTCTTTATTTTGGTACGGTGAGGTCAAGTGAATGACACTACTCGGGTCCTGTATGCGCGTTTCGGAGACGCAACACACATCGATGGCGCGGGATTCTAAAGTCTTAGCTAAGGAAGCCTGCTGTCCTATTTGGCACAGTGTTCGGACGTTAAAAGCTCCTACGTGTAGTTTAGAGCGTGGTTTCAGGAGACCAGGAATAAAGTTCCGCGTACTCGAATCGTTTGCCCTAGTGGTGCGAGGTGATAAAGAGACGTGAGGAGGGTTAGTCATGGAGATAAGAGAGGTATTAGGAGGTGTAGGAAAGATTTGAATGTGACCAACTTGGTCTTGTGTGCTACTACGGGTATGAGGGTTGGTGTCACATCCCGGCTGCCCACACCGTGGAAGGGTATTTCTTGAGGAACCTGGAAAGGAAATTGGATTAGTGTTGGTCGTAAAGACCTGGGAGCGTGACCGCAGAACCCAAGGGACAACTGCTTGAGGCCGGTCGCGCACGGCCTTTCCGTGGAAAGCTTTTGATGTGTCAGCTCCGTTCTTCAAAGGGCTTTACCACCGGAGACGGAAATCCGTGAGGTAAGGTGAGGTGTGACATTTTTAGAGTCGAACTTTTCTAACCCCTTCCTTATTTGTGAGAAGGCAGCATCGCTGCAGATGCTGGTTGTCTGAGGGAAACACCTTACTGTTGTCACACCTCTCTACAGTCAGCAGTACGACTTCGTCCTCAGACCTTGAGTTGCTACTTTTAGTCTTACCGTTCTCCAGTCGACCTGCCTGGCATGGTAGAACCTACAGGAACATATGTTCCAGCCAATATAGCTCGGTTGCTTCATCACGATAGGCAAGCCCGACCACCGCGTTAAGGTAGCAGCTTCGGTCGGGTTCATGATCTCAATCTAAAACGTAATAATCTCCACAACCCCCATACTAGTAACTAACATGTGCTAACTAGTGACTAGCTTCGTGAGGGAATTCTCGGAGTTCTAGTGAGAAGCCGTGATCAGTGGAGCTAATCCAGAGACAGGTATCTACCTCAGTACAATGGAAGTTGGTCGCGCAAATTTGTGGATTGGTTGATGTTAGACACTATCACCATTGGATGCCGGCTCAGAGGCCCAGTTGGTTAAGCGTTCGCGCGCGAGACCGAAGGCCCCGGGTTCGAATTCCGCGGGCGGGACCGTGGATGCGCGCTGCTGAAGGGCCCCGCAATAGGACGAAACGGCCGTCCATTGCTTCCAGGTTTCCAAAGGTGGTGGTCTAACATCAATCGGTTCATGATCTCAATCAAAAACGTAATAATCTGCACAACCCCCATACTACTAATTCATATTATTCTACATATTACGTAATTTCCCATTTTTATTCCACTATTTTCTTGGTAACCCCATGTTGACCATATTTGTTCTGATCATTTTATCGCACAATTTCATTTCACTTATAAACTGATTCAAGTTAACACTTTATATTAAACAGCCCCAACATTAACGATCTGAATTGATTTTATATAACAAACAACAATTCTTAATTCATATATAACAATTTCCAAATGATGTACGCTGCCTTAAATCTGGCCAATTTTATGAATTATTAATTTGAATTTATGAATTGTAGAACTTGATGAGAAAATATTGAAAAGAATATTCTTCGTTCATACAATTGTGTTTTAATATAATGGGAATTTTTCAGCGATTAAAATATTCCCTTATTTAAGACTACCAAGATGATAAATAAGTGGTAAAATATCATATTGCTAGACCCTGAAAAAACAGTTCGGCTTAAACTACACCGAATACGTCCAAACTTAAAAAATCAAATGACAAAACTCATACATAATATAGTGCAGATGTATAGAATCGTTTTCTAATTGTAACCATACCCAAAATACAATGAGATGGGAATTTCTTTTCCTTTTGGGTTATACTGCATAAGTTTAAGTCAGTGCTGCTGGGTTTTTGTTCAAAACTCACAAGTACCCTCATGAACCAGTTCAGGTCTAGGTACTTAAAAAGTAATGTTGCTTATCGTGTCGGTGAATTGTAAGTTCAAACGTAAATGAAGAATTAGTTTATAAAAGAATCTGGATTGAGAAAAATAAAAAGAGGTAGTATGTGTGAAATCTACTGATATGATTTATTTGACGACGATTATATCGTAATCATCAAATCAAATTTTCAATTCTAATTTCATTGTTATCTTAGGATGTCGTGGAATAGTCAGCCAGTGTATCTCTAGATCTCAATGAATGGATGACGAGCCGAAAGTAGAAATGTACAACGACGAAGAAAAAGCACGTCCACTTTTAGAGAAAACAAATAAACTTCTTCTAAATTTCGTTCAAAACAACCAGGATTTACCAAAAAATACAATTGCCCGACTAATGTTTCTTTATGTGAATTTAACCACAAGTTGGCATTATACTTCCCTTTTATTTATGCGATATGTACATCCAAGCTAATAAACTCACTAAGTTGTTTGCATAGAAATTATCAAAACTTAAGCACTGTTGTTTTGTGATTTTGTAGAGGACAGATGTTTTTGTATCAACAAGTAGATGAAAGGAATGCTCATAATTCAGAAGGCAAAATGTTGCGATATTAATATAAAATTAGCTGAATTTTATAAGATAAATATTCCACAGTGTAATCTATTATAAAAAAATGAAGTAGTATGCGATTAGTATTATAATCACCCGTAAACCCAATAAGCTCTTAAACAAATACAGAAATAAAATAATCAACGAGATTTTACGATTAACAGTGAACTGTCACCTTAGTTTTACAAGTATATCTCAATGCCCAGTAAACAGCTCCTGTATGATCTAGATATCTATTTTGTTTATTATTTTACAAAAGAAATATAATAAGTATATCACTTGGTGTTCTTGTTGACATGTATCAAACAAATATTATATATACATAACCATACGAAAATCTAACACAAAATTAGCAGCTTCCCACTGCGTAGGCCATTGAATTTAAACGAGTAATATGACGTGAGTAATTTACAAAACGCAGCAAAAAAACATGACTATGCATTCAGTAACACTTCATAGTTAGAAAATGGAATCTTAATATCATTTTTTAAATTATTACCTTGTACAAAATACCACCACGTGGTACTGATTGTAGCAGTAGTAAAGGTGTACAGTTCTTTACTGCTTCATGAATCACAGTAGTGGGATTAATAACAGCAGCATTACTTTCCGAAATATTTGCAATACTTTTGTTTTTCCGCATCTATGAGAAATGAATAAAGTGATAAACACGTACCTGTATTAGTTTTATTTCTCTAAACGTCATGCGCATTACATTTCTAGCCACCTCTCTTTCGCCTCGAATGGTCATCATCCCCACAATTCTTGAGACAAGTTCATCAAAATTGGACCCCGTATGTTCCCATTTTTGTGCTGGAGCAACGGCTTTTACGAGACGAGGATCTTCTGGGTCTACTGACTCATTATATTTAATCATCTTGGGTTGGAGAGCAAAATGGTAGATACGTGTTCTGAATGGTTGTTTGAATTTCAAAACTTCAGCTAATTTTGTCGACAGTAAGATATGAAAATCCCACATAGTGATCCCAGCAGTAAAAAAATTCTGAAAACTTCTAGATAAGATTGATCTAAAGAAGGGGGGAAAGACCTTGGTAACTAATATGTACCACGAAAATACACAGTAAGCGACAAATGAATAAGTTATTCGACAAGCATTGGAGGAAGTGACTTTAAAAGGAGTATGGAATTGATAATATCCTATCTGAAGTTACGGAGTTAAGTGAGGGCTCATGGAAAATTGCTATTCATGACGATCATGAGATATTATCCTCCAAAAATACTATATCTAAGCTATCTACACTTTAAACAACACTCTTACATGCAGTATTACCTGCTTTAGTTTGGGTAGCTCGAATAACTTAGTATTAACATCCCTGATTGTGGTAATGATTAGTGCGGGTTCTAATCCTAAAAAAAGAATTACTTCCTTTATTGTTGAAAAGATGTCTTACAAGTACAAATCAAAATGAGAAATAGGGTTTCCTATCGATTGCTTCAGCCACCTGACAAAAGCACAATCAGTTTTCAAATAAACAAACGAATCTGCCATCGACTGGTTTTACATTTAAATTAAACAAATCTACGTCCAGGTGTGATGTCCACCTAACTATCAGGAAATCATGATCCGCACAATATATTAATTGTGTTACATCGCTATGATTTGTTTCAAAAGATTAAGTATATACCAAAATGTCTTACAATCCCTGCAACAAACAGTATTGTGGTGGATTTTTGTAGCAACTTCTATTAAATACTGATTTTGCAGTGCTTAACTGTCTTCAGATAAATGGATTTTTAGTATTTCAAAAAATATCTTTCGCTAAGGTTTTCTCATACTTATATGTTATTTTTTTATAAATATTGCCTATAAAATATGTACCATCAGATAAAGAACTTAGACCTAATATACTATATATATTGGCTTAACTACTATGAATCCGGTGTTCATCTTGCTGTGCTAATGAGATATGGCAACTTGGACCGATGCATATATGTGCCTCGTCCTACGTTGTAGCTTACTGACTGAGGATATTTTTAGTGAATGAAGAAACCTAAGTGTAACTCCATAATTTGATGGTAAATAGCGTTTCTATACTACACCTTGCCCGAAAAAACCACTGGTCTCAAGGTTATGCAACGGCAGTGTCGAATACATATTTTGAATTACTTGAATGTTTAGTTTAGGTGTATGGCATGTACCTCGTTGGGGTAAAGTATTTATTTATTTATTTTAACAAATAGATATTGGTACAAGGAGGCACCGAATACATATGCGCCATACAAATCTCATTCGATATGTGTGAGGGCTGTGATACCGCCCGGGTGCCCGAACCGAAGCAGGTGGTTTTCTTAGGGGGCCACTCCCCGAGCCTTCGATCTGAAGGTCTGATCCACAAGGCAGTGGAACATTGTAAGGAGATGCAGTCCCATGGAGGCCGGTGACCAACAATCAGTTCATACGCCATTTGTTCCCTTAGGACACTGGAGCCCATGTGCACCATTCGTTTGGAATCCGGTTAAAGCGCCGGACATTCGCTTTTCGTCCTCTCATTTTCGTAAACAACACCCTCGCCACGAGAAGGCAGTGAGTAGAACTTCCCTGGCAGAGGCTATATACGCGTGACCATGCGAGAGCGGACTCTCCCCACTCTCATCGTACCATTTGGGGTAAAGAAACTCAGATCAAGTGGCAAGAATTAAATGGTAGATATTTATCAGCGTTGAAACGTGCCAAAGATTAAAGTTCGCAAAAACTAAAGCTTAGGTGGAATATTGTGGTCGACAAGAGTATTTATGACGATTATAAGTTAATCAAATAACTATCCCTGTATGAGTACAGTAAATACTTTTTTATCTTTAGTCGGCACCAAAACCCAAAAAATACTTCAAGACTTACAATTTTAGAGTTTTGTCTCAATAAAGAGAAAGTTTTGAAAGGTATCAACAAAGATCTACTTCCTAAAAGCCTTTAAAAACAATTCAGAACGTATGAGCAATTAGCTAATACAATCAACGAATAAACCTAGTAGCAGAAGAAACGACCTGATATAAGAGCTAAGAGTAGGATTCCTTAATTGCGATTTTAAACCCAATGCTGATCATAGTTATACGCTGATTATTTCTCACACGGTCGAGAACAGAAAATCCGAACCCAGAACTAGTTTAGAACCTGATGTTAGTTAATTCAAAGATTTACTCAAACAAACTAATGACTAAGGTATCACAGGGTTCACTCTCGGGGTGTACATGAACTGAAAGGGTCAGGAGACTTCTTCTTCAAAGACAACTCGCTGATCATATAAAAAGGCAAGAACTAAAATCAAGGCTAGAAATGGGAGAAAAAGATAGGTCACCTGTAGACTTCATGAGATGAGGATTCAGCACCGATGCAGGTATTTGAATTGTCATTTGACCTGTCACACAAATCCTCGGAGCTTGCTTAACAAACAATTGGAATTAAATGTGCGGATAGACTATACTAAAGTGGAACTTATCATTGTAATAGAAACGGGTCTGGCCTAAAGCGTAAAAGATCACCTCAACCTAAAAAACTTGGGAGATCAAGAGCGACGAAATCGAAAAGCGCACACGATGAATAGCATTATTTATTATATATAGTATCCCCTTTACTGTTACCGACACTATAGCTTAAAAAAGTGAAATGTATGAAGTGGCTAGTTGTCACACGAAATACGATACCATCTGGAGCCCTTCTAAAGCCACTGCCACATCCAAGTTCGGGAAAAAGAGAAGGGAAATAGTTACTGTATTTATGTCACTGAGATCAATTCTCAGCCATGTAATTCAACGTTTACAACCATTGGAAACGGAACAGAAAACAAACTTTCTAAGAGCAGATTTAGACACAACACAGAAAACATTGCTTTTAGTGAAGATTATTAAAAACACTTGGGGATATATCAGTACAGATTAAAGGTCGCCGGCGTTAGGATCACGTTAAAAATGCGCTACAGCATACCTATTGACAATAGCGCCTTCATACCCATTTTCAATGCCATAATGTTTCGGATCAATCTCGATGGTTCTTCAAATCTCTTCTGGTAAGTGTTAATTAAAGTAATAGGCAAAACATTGTAGCGATATCTTTGGGTACCTTATGTGAAACGCTACTCTACGATATGGTAAGTTTAATAGTGTCGAATTTATTTACGGCTGATACACATCGACACTATTGTTCCTCTTTATATTGATTGCCTACTTTAATATCTGATTTACGCATGCCTTACATGAAGATTTTTTATGGCGACTTCGTTGGATTCTTTATTATCTATGGCATATTCATGACTTGCGTGATTCAAGTCTTTTATAACTTCCTAAATGCAATAATTCTTTCAAAATATTCGCAATACAAAACGAGTTTGTTAACAACGGCGAATGTATGAGCCATTTAGAGTAGAATACATGCTCTGCATAGCAAGTTTATCGTAAAACACAGTCTTTTGAGTTCTTATTTAGTGACTCTTGATGGAGTAGCCTAAATATCTTCGGGTTTTCTAATTATTATGATTTTGCCACGCGTGCAGAATTGCACAACGATTTTAGAAAGTTTATTTCGTTGAAATTTTGTCTTTAATTAGACACAATTTTTCAGATTATATTGAACTTCTTAAAAGCTTGTAGTGGCTTGATTTCGATAGTTGACATTTCAGATGATCACCCGTGATAATCTTTGTCGAACGATCAAGTTCCCACACCATTTTAGAAGTCACACCTTGCCGTCAGTGCCTAACGTCAATTACCCTCTGACCGTATCCAGATATTATGGCTGCTCTGATTAACGGAAACAACAATCGACGGCATTACAGAAATATGCTAGTATTAGGTTACAATAAATTTAATGTGACTACTGTTGCACGGGCCAATCCATAGCGTGCAGTGCACTGACGCGCGTTTATTGTCTTTGACATGATGAGTATCGGCGGAATGTCGGTAATCTGAGACCCGACTGCCAAGACGACATGGCTGAGTGAAATTTCACTAAGTCTACAACAGTAAAGGTTCCCCAACTAATAAGGGTTTGATGAAACTTTTGTCCATAACACATTTATAATCAAATGATACCAAACCAGTCAAATTAGAAGTCGGGAAAAGTGTTCAAAATTATATCCGTGTACCTAATGATAGATGAAGATAATAGGAGCCGACAAACAGAAATACATGGAAGAACTAGCAACGACAGTGGAAAAAGATGCAGGAAGAAATATGAAACTATATGATACAACGAAGAAACTAGCAGGGAGATATTGTAGGCCAGAGAAACCGGTCAACGACAAAGTAAGCTAATCACTGAAACTCAAGGAGAGAGGAGCAGACGGGTAGAAGTTTTGAAAAGACGAGCTTCATTCAATCCACCGGATATCGAAGTAGCACATACAGACATTCCACCAACGATGAAAGAAATGAGGATGGCTGTCAGGCAAATGAAGAGTGGGAAAGCAGCTGCATCTGACAATATATACTAGCCGAAGCACTAAACTCAGACATAGAGGTAATTGCATACTTGCTCAACGTCCTATTCAGGAAGATTTGAGAGGAAGAACAAGTGCCGATAGACTGGGTACATGGATACCTCATCAAAATGCCAAAGAAAGGAGATCTGAGCACATGTGAGAACTACAGAGGCATCACACTACTGTCAGCACCAGGAATGTTTTCCAACGGAGTGTTGATGAACTGGATGAAAGGCTCAGTAGACGTCTACAAGCTGGGTTCCGTAAGATTCGGTCGTGCACACACCGAATTGCGACACTATTGAATAATCAATTGGATGGAACTCGTAACTATACGTTAACTTCCTTTACTATGAGAAAGCATTTGACAGTGTGGATAGGAGAACATTATGGAAACTTCGACACTACGGCATGCCTGAGAAGATAGTCAATATCATACGAAATTCTTATGGTGGATTAAACTGCAAACTCGTGCATGGAGGACAGCTCACAGACTCGTTCGAAGTAAAGACTGATGTTGTATTAAGTTTCTTACTCTCAAACTTTC